CCAAGTGTATGCCGATTTAAACTTGCATGATTCAAATTTTAAATGAAAAAAATACTGGCATACTATTAGTCTTGGCATTTTAGAGAGAAAATATGGGATTTTCTGAAATAAACACTACTTTTACAAGAAAGGATTTCAACATTTCATTCTAAAAGCTTATAAACTCACTACTTAACTGTTTAAACTTTTTCAAAACTACTTGTATTCTCAGGGAATCCGTAAATGTAACGCCCGTAGATCCGGGCAAATCAATTTAGAGATAATAGGGGTCGAAAACGACTTTTCGATAAAAGATTATTTAGAATAAATAATCTTAAGCAAGTTGTAGAATATGTCTCAAGGGTTCCGTACATATAAAGAGCCCCAAAATCCGAGTTATAACAAAGAAGTTATGACACGTCGAAGTTTAGCGACGGAACCGACACAACACCGCGAAGACGTAAATAGTGACTTTATGATAGATCTTCTTTTAGCCTTAGTAATCTAAATGAAAGTTGTATAATATGTTAACCTAAGAACGTGCATAAAAAGAACGCCCAAATCTAACTTCGTATGAGGAAGTTATGATTTTTCGAAGTTTCGGCTTAGCGGTGTACAACCCGAAGTTCGAGTATTAGATCGAGCGGTTTTTAGCCGACACAACCTAAACGAGAATCAAAGATCTCGTTATTAGTAGCATAACGATAAAAAGACAGACGCAAATGGAGATCGGGTGAAGAAGTTATGAGATTTTAACAGACCAATCCTGTCCCGGCCTGTTAAAAATATAACGTTAAAAATAAATTCAAAATTAGCCGACAGAGTCTAAATGAAAGTTGTAGAGTATGTCTCCACCTATGCGTGGATATAAAGAACGTCAAAAACAGAGTTCGTATAAACGAGTTACAAATTAGAATAGCATATTTACGTATTAAATAAAGTATAAATCATATATACGTATATATATATATATATATATATATATATATATATATATATATATATATATATATATATATCATTAGAAAGGTATCGACGATGCGGTCATTATAAGACTAATGTTGAGTTCTTTCGACATTAGTTTAGTACAAATATCATTAAATCCATTTAAAATAGTATTATAAAAAGATGTTTAGTTGTTTATATAACTAAAAGGTCATTAAGTAATTATGGAGGGTAGTTTTTGAAAATTCAATTAGTATAAATAAGAGCATTGGGCTCTCATATTTCTTGCATCATTCTCTTGATTCTAGAGTCCTTCTCTCCTTATCCCCCTAGCATTTCGGTCCCTCGTGATTCGACTTTTTTTTTTCTATAGTTTTTAGTCTAGTAAGGTGAGCGCTGAGGCGCTGCACGAATCTTTCTTAGAAAGATTCAGCGACGAAGTTTTGCCCCTGCAGAGCCTGACTCCTAGCTAAAATCCTCTTGTAAGTAAGTTATGGTTACCCTATTTTAATATAGCTTATATTTAAAATTAATATTGTTATTATGAACTTATAATAAGTGTCGTTATAATATCTTTTTAACTACTCGCGGTACGGAAAATCTGGTTTAAAGGGCCACATAGGGTTGTTGGATTTCAGAAGTGCTATACGCCAAAATGGTCCTGCCCTCCGGTGTTTTATGTCTGACCCCTGTTTGTATATAGTGGTTGGAAAGTATTATTTAAACGCTTATATAATAATAATAAGACTAATAATTTGTCACGGTAAATATTAGACTAAAATCTAGTGATAATAATTCTAGGTTTCGTTGAAGGAAATTATTTTAATGTAAACGAAGCGCTGTCCGAGTACCGAGTCACCACCTTCTCAGGTGAGTGCATGGTCCATTTCATCTTACACATAGATATGAAGTCTTTTATATAAATTACGTGCTATGTGTGCACATTATCTGAGTACTTGCTGTCTATGCTAGATGAACGATTTTATACATGTTTTAAATGATTTAAATTGTATATGTATTTTATATCTACGATAATGTTGGGGTAAAACATGGGTAGATGTAATAGATGGAGTATGAGTTGGATGATGAGTTGAGAGGTGAAATAGACCGTGAGGTGAGGATGAGAGGTGAACGATGTGAGAAGCCTTTTTCCCAAATGATGGCCCCGTCATTCAGCAGAGTATGGATGACAACCACAGACTATTCTAGGCAGTCCAGTTGAATACTAGCAAGCTCGCAACCTGTAGGTGTTGTGAACGATGTGTTCACCCAGTGTACTCTAAACCTTGGCGACCATGTAGACTTGGTGCCTAAACCTTGGCGATCATGCAGACTTGATGCCTAAACCCTGACGATTATGTAGACAGTGCCCGTTGTGTAAACCTTGGTGATCATGCAGACTTGATGCCTAAACCCTGGCGACTATGCAAACTTAGTGCCTAAACCCTGGCAACTATGCAGACTTAGTGCCTAAGCCCTGGCGACTATGCAGACTTAGTGCCCGTTGTGTAAACCGTGGCAACGATGGACTTCGTGCCGATCCTTAGGAATGAACGAACGAGGAATAGCTGATTCTTAGGGTAGATCCTTAAGACTAAAGAAGATAATGGGGATGGGTAATTGGGTTAATTGTTTGATTGTTTAAACATAATAGTTATATTATTGTGGGTTGAAAACCCTATGTACTCACCAGGTTTCCCAACCTGACCCACTCAGTTTATTTATATTACAGGTGTCGATATGAAGTGACATTACACTGAGAGATTAAGGAGATATAGATCACTAGTGTAAATGAATGTAAGTTCTGTTTATGCTTATGTTTCTGTATTGATGATGGCATCCCAAATGTTTTAAAATGAATAAAATACGTTTTTTTTCGGAAATGCTTTGATAACATATTTATCGTGTTTTTTTTTTCTAGGAATAAATTCTGCAACATTTTTATTAAAAGAAGTACTTAATTTTCATAAAACATAAACAAAATCGGTCTTTTTTAGCCATGAAAATGGGGATGTCACAGTAAATCAGGTAAACAATGGCTTGTGAGAATGGAACGCTAAGGCGTCAAACATTGTATTTTTATCAACATAATGTAATTGATTTAGAAAAATATAAACTTTTACTATGACGTAACTTTTTCAATTATATTTATGTTGGTTGTTTGTACTTTGAGCACTATTATACTCATTGTTGTGATACTATACATGAAGTCCTCCACCCCCGGATGTTTCCGCCATCCTTGGTTTGGGGTGTGACTCTATCTTTTCAAATTCTACTAAGAGGTGGGAAATTTTGAAAGATAATGTTAAAGCTTGGAGTCTTAAGTCATTATGTCAAACTCGTTGGGAAAGCCGGGTTAAGAGTGTAAAGGCTATTAAACTTCAAGTTGTGGATGTATGGGAAGCTTTACTTCAAGTTGGAGAAAAAGATAATGATGTTGTTTATTATACATTGTTGATCAAGCTATTTCTTTTGTTGAGAGTGTAAAGGTATCAACTGTTGTTTGGTATGAAGTACTAAACCATGTGAATATTGTGAGTAAGAAGTCACAATCAATGGATATGCATATTAACAAATGCTATTACATAAATAAACAAATTGATCGGGTACTTCAAGGATTATAGAGAAACTGGTTTTTCAAAAGCGATTGTTGAAGCTAAGGAGATTGATATTGAAATGGGTATTGATCCAATATTTCCACAAAAGCGTTTGATTGAAAGGAAAAAAAAAATGGTTTGATGAGAGTTCAAGTAGCGAAAAAGTTTCATTTACACCTAAAGAGAATTTGAGAGTCAATTATTTATTATACATTGTTGATCAAGCTATTTCTTCTCTTGAGAAAAGATATGAACAATTCAAAGAGTATGATTAAGTATTTGGTTTTTTTATTTCCACATAATGTGAGGAGAATTGAAGATAAAGATCTTAAGTTGTATTGTCATTGTCTTGAAAAAGCACTCAAGTTTGAAGAAAGATCGGATATTGATACCGATGAACTTTATACTGAGTTGAAATTATTTGAGACATTGGAAACCAATGAATTTAGCAACCCTATAATTGCTTTTGAAGTTTTTGAAAGAATTTGATTATTTCTCAAATGCAAGCATTGCATATAGAATATTATTGACTATTCCAGTAACGGTCGCATCTCTAAAAAGGAGTTTTTTAAAATTGAAATTTGTGAAATCTTACTTACGCTCTACAATGACCCAAGAAAGACTTAGCGGTTTGGCAATGATATCTATCGAGAACGAAATCTTAGAGAGTATAGACTACGATGAGTTGATCAACCAATTTGCAATCAAGAATGCTAGAAGAGCTTCAAGGATAATTGGTTAGCTGTTAGGATATGTTATTAGTCATTAAAATACTTTGATTTTGCTATGTTTATTGGTATAAGGTTTATCGTCATTTTAATAAAAAAAATTAGTTTATGTAATTTAATTCATTAAAGTGTTACACGTTTTAGCCTAAGAGCCTTTTATCCGTTTTGTCTTGGACATTTGAATCCTCAGAACCGACTTTAGTTACAGCAGAATCAAAAATAAATTGAAATCGTTCAAACGATCAAGACGGTGACATATTCTACTGATTTTGAAAGTAAAAGTATAGAAAGATGTAAAAACCTGGTTTTGGTTTGAAGAAGTAAGGGTTAAAGTATGGTTTTATTTTGAAAAAAAATTATAGACCACTCAGGGTCCATCAAGCTCTTCCACCAATCAAAATTTAGTGCATAGTGTCCCCCTACCTTTGTGGCACTGAGTGACAGCAAAACCGTAGCTCACTCCGAGCGTGTCTGATATAGATCACGATAGGCAAATGTTTGAGGTGCGATTTATAGGCTAATTATCCTGTGGATAAGTACGTAAATTTTTGCTATTTTTTTTTTAATAAAAAGCCTTGCTCTTTGAGGAAAAAAAGCATTAATATTTTATTTGGTGGTGATTTGTATATAATAAGTATTTATTTATATATAAACCTTGTATTATACAATTTTATAACATCTAAATTATAAGTTATTTTCTACCGAAAAAAAAAATCATGTAAGAATAACTTTCATTATCTTTTGAAAAATGCTCGGATTTCTGATATCTAAATTGTGAAACAGTTTGTATAAATGTGTAAGTCATGATCATCCAATACTAGTCCACTCACCTACCCACGACAAACTGATCAAGTCGTACCAGGATAAGAGTGTAGCTCTCTTGACTCATGCAACAATAGAAGACCTAGCTATTGCTACTGTTTCTGTTGAAACAAGGTTGCCAAGTCTAACATAACAATCATCAAACTAAAACTAAAACCAAAAATTTTGAGGGGAAGTCGGCCACAGTGTAGATATTTCGTCACTTATTTTGCACCACATTTCCGTATTGTAACCAAATACTGCCTGCTCCTCGTTCACCTTGGTCTTCGTCTCGGTTAGATCATTTTGGTGAATTTGTTGAGTAGCAGGAGTTGTATCTACTAATCCAAGTTCTTCCTCTAACAATCTCATCCAGTACTCAACGTCTATCGATCCATTTGGGATATGGGCTCCATGGTGTTCCACGATTGGTTGTGGCTGTAATTGTATGTCCTCAAGCATGTTCCAAAACTCAACCTCTGATTCTGAAGGAATTTCAAGATTTACTTCATCACGAGTATTGCAAGACGCGGTTGACGATGGGGTTGATGGTTGATCTATATCCTCAACCAATAATGGACCTCCACCAGCTCCCTCTCGGGTTATCGCTTTTGGATCAATATCCAGGTGATTAGAAGAAATTTCTTGATTATTAATGTGAGGTTGATCAATACTAATTGAGATGTTGGAAGCCGGTGACATTGAAGGTGTTGACAAGAAAGTTTCGTTTTTGCTCATCAGCACTGATCTTTTCTTCAAATGTGTATTCCACACATTCTTGATCTCGTTGTCCGTTCGTCCCGGCAACTGAGATGCAATCTTCGACCACCTGAAGCCATAAACTACTTCATTACATACATACATACATACATACATACATTAAATTTATTATTACTGTTACTACAACGAGGAAATATATAGAGGTAGCTAGTAAATGCATGATTACTTGTTCCCGAAGGTGGCGTGAAGGCGAATGATGGAATCCTCTTCTTGGGGAGTAAAACTTCCCCTCTTTACATCTGGCCTTAGGTAATTTATCCATCTCAGACGGCAGCTCTTTCCACACCTTAGCAGACCTTCAAACCCAACGATTTCATATTAGATATGTACTTAGTATTTCTTTCAATACCTTGTGTGCATTTTATTTTGGATTTGATTTTTAAAGAAGGTGGTTAATATTTACTCATGGAGTTCTATTTAGACTACTGGATTTCATCAGCCAATAGACCAACCATATATAGAACAAAACAGATGGATCATTATCGACCAAAGCTAATCGTGCTTTTGCATGCGTTGATTTTATTTATAATCAGCGGTTAAATAAGAAAGAAAGGGTGAAAATAGGTACCGGCTTGTTTTGGGAGAGAACGCCAGTTGGAATGGCCATGTTTCTGAATGAAAGAGACGAGCCTGACGTCCTCCGCGGGACTCCACGGCCCTTTCTTCACCTTACTCTTGTCACAGCACGGGGAACGCCCTCCTCCTCCTCCCATCTTATTTAGTTAGTTATATCGATCGAAGCTTAGCTAGCTACCTTTTTCAATATATGCATGCCAACTTTCTTCTCCTGCATCTCCATATATATATATATATATATATATATATATATATATATATATATATATATATATATATATATATATAAATATGGATAGACTATGTAGGATTCTTAGATTGGATTATGTCCAACTTGGTGGTCCCACATTTGTATGTAGTACCTCACCATGAATATACAGGTGTGCTATTATTAATTAACTATTGTTTTTAATTTGGCAATTGTTTAGGAACAATGACGATAATATAAGCAAGCAGGCTAGTGAAAAGTTTATCAAAAGATTTTAAACAGTTTCTACTATATAAAGAATATACTCATGCATGCACCATATCACAACTATTTTTTATTTCGATGAATTGTATAGCTAGATAGAATAAGTTGAATTTCAGTTTATGATTTGTATTTTTAACATCAATATTCTTTGGTCTTCTGTATTATCCAAACACAATTACCGAAGTAGGCAAGTATCTTGATTGCAATCTGAAAAAAATTTATAAATAAATAAACATGTAATCCTAAATTATGAATCAGGTTTTTTTGACACTATATATGACGTTTGGGTTTTACTTTTACATAAAGCAAATGTTTTTCTAATAAAAGTTTGGTGGTCGTCGTGGGGCCATAGACCTTTAATCGTCTCTATTATTTATGAATAGAATTGTAGTAAAGTGGAAATGTAATTAAAGAAATTAAATTAATTCCAAAGACGTCGTGATGAAGTCAGGAAAGTGCACCACGTCTCGAATTGGTTTGTTAGGTTAACCAGCTTTTTCAATTTTTATATTCTCTTCTTCCCAAATTAGTTGTCTATTTTTTAATTTTGAAGTTTTTTTATTTTAAATATTTTTATTTGTATTTTATATTACTTAATAAAACTTATAACAAGGAAAAAACATTTAAAATACAATCCATTCATATATTTTTCATCAAGTATTAACTAACAAAAACAAAAGTATTTAAAATCAAAGTTGAAGATTAAAAACTTCAATAGTCAAATGTGGACACTTAATTTAGGATCGAGGTAGTACACTTTTACGTCTCTAATTCAACATTAGAAATTTTATTTTATAACTTAAATTCTTCACTCTTTCTTTAATAAAACCTTTTATTTACTTATATCCACACTATAAGATTACATAAATATTAAAACATTAGATTTTGTTTTATAAAAATAAACAAAAATGATGAGGTGTTACTTCTTTTCATCAAAACATTCCAAAAACATCTTCTATAGCCCAATAAAAATAGGGCAAATGTTGTATACCCTTAAATTCTAAGAAAACTATAGGTTTGGACTTTTTGCATTTTTTGAGTTCATTAAAGCCTAGAGTTTTGTTTAATGATTTCATTTATTGCATTTATTAGGTTTTACTCATTACTGCCGGTAACAATCACCTCAAAAAACCGACAACAAGCCTCAATTCAATGAAAGCGTCCGGCCAACAAAAGATGATAAGACATGTGGCTTCTAGAAGGTTAAAAGTGTCTCAGATAATAGATTGTCTCTTCTGAGACGGAGTATCTTTGCTAGAAGCTTGTAGTGGTAGTATGAGAAAACGATGAAGGGCTAGTACCTGAAATTCAAGGCTTACAAAACTTCTCAGGTGAAGTTATCTATGCACAATACTACAAGTCCCACGAGAAATACAACGAAAAGAAAGTTGTGGTTGTTGGTTATGGAAACTTTGTCATGGAAGTCTCTCTTGATCTCTCAAACCACAATGTGAAGCCATCAATGGTGGTTTGAAACTCTACAAGTAACCATGTAAAAAAATATACTATTTCCAAGAAAATAAATATTCATTAATTAAAGATTTCTACTCCATGTTTTTTATTTAATCACAGGTTCATGTACCATCATGTGAGATCTTGGGAAAATCCACATTCAATTTAGTGTTGATGCTGATGAAATGTCTACTTATATGACTGGTAGATAATATAATATTGATCCACACATGGTTGATCCTCGGAAACACATAAAAATACAGAATAAGAAGGCCAAATTAGGTCCATTACAACTGAAGAACAATCATGTAAAATCCTTGTTCTTGACATTGGTGCACTCACAGAAATCCAATCAGGGGATATCAAAGTTGTGTAACACTGTAAATTTTCAAACCAAAATTTTCATTTTTAATTTCATAAAACACATGTCATTTTAAATAAACACCATTTAATACTCAACAAAGTTTTCAAAACATTATCAAAATCCAGGATCCTCATTCATAACTCTTTTCTCGTGCGTGTACAATCGAGCCGCCGCCTTCCCGCGATTTTAATAAGAACCTGAAATACATAACACATAACACGGTAAGCACGAAGCTTAGTGAGTTCCCCAAAAATACCATATACAACATATAAGCTACTCGAGGCTATAACTCGGTATGACCCTCCGGCCAATGTATCTCAGCGGGACCCACTAGTCCCGTAGCTCGTTGGACCCTCCGGTCCAGTCTAGCTCGTTGGACTTTCCGGTCTGGTCTAAATCGTTGGACCCTCCGGTCCGGTCTATATCGTTGGACCTTCTGGTCAGGTCTAATGGAGGACCCTTTGGCCTCATAAGTCATTGGACCCCTAGTCCAGTCTATATAACACATAGCATATGTATAACACAATGCACATAAATCTCAAACATACACATACACATAAGACCCTCCGATTTGCACATAGATACCACTCTAGGTAATGTATAGTGAGAAGAATCACCTCGGGTAAACTCGGATAATCTCGAACTCGAAATACAGATCTAGCCTCCGTTTACTCACATAGAATAAATCCCTCTAATTAACAACGACTTTCAAAGGCTAGACTAGTCCCTTCCTATATTCTCTCAGAAGGGGAAAAGACCATTTTACCCCTCTAATGGTCCAAATGTCCAATTGTTGACCAAACCCTAAAAGTCAACGAAAGTTAACAGAGGGCAGTACGCGGGGCGTACCAACTTTGTACGCGAGGCGTATCCTGGCTATCCAGAATCGGGGATCTCAACCCCTACTCGGTGCGTTCTGAGATTTACGCCCAACATAAGTGTTAATTTCATGCTCTTAATGTTTTTGGCCTGAATTGGTTAAGATAAAAGCTCATATTCCACATGTAGTCCTTCTAATGCCTCTTAACCCATAAAGTCGAAGCCTTTAAGCCTTTGCATGGCTGAAAAGGCCACCAATCACTCCAAACCCTTACCCTCTCTCCTCATTAAGTCCTTAACTGATGCATGACTCAATACTAACGAACAAGATTGGATTTTTATGGATCTACAACACATTTTATACTGAAATGGGGCAGATTGAGGCTTATGGAGACCATTTACTCATAAAGTCCCCATCTTGGGACAAAAACTCTAAAAATTGGTCCATAAATCACAAATCCAAAATGATTAAAAAAGCTTTGAGCTTTTTACCTCCAAGTGGTGCCCCAACCTCTGTAAAGCGCATATCCAAAGCTTGCACACCAACTCTAGCTCCCACAATGGCCCTCTCCTCTTCTTTACAAGCACACAATGATACTTTCAAGCTCAAAACACATACACAAGCTTAGAACAAAGGTTTGGCTCTCGTAGGGTTTCAGTCTATGTAAAATGGTGGTTGGGATGGGGGCTATAGTATTCCTTTTATAGTGCACATGCTTTATTTAGGGTTTTAAACCTGGGCCCATTACACCCATCATAAGCTAAGGTACAATCATTGTACCTTGGTAGAGTCCACGTCAAAAGCACACCCATGGGTATGCGCAACGTCCTCTTCAGTACGCCCAACGTACCCACTCGCCACCATTTTCTATTTTGGATTAAATTTGACAATGTAGAAAAGAAGAAGGATTAAAGAGCTATACCTAAATTTCAGGATGTTACAATTCTCCCCCACTTGAATTAGATTTCGCCCTCAAAATTGCTTCTTATCAACGCATAGATCAAACCGATAATCCAAAAGGAACCACCAAAAGGACCTCTTATCATACAACAATCTCTTCCAAAGACACCTGATCCCAACAGGAAGTCTTGAGCCCGAAGAAGGACAGAACCAACTGCAGCTGCGGTACTCGATCTGACTCTTCCCGAACTTGAAAACTCCAGTGGTCTGTCTTCCTGCCAGACCACCCTCACAAAATATCATGTTAATCTCTCATCGATTAATAGACTCTAAGAACACTCTGTCAACTCTAATTCCCCTAATCGATCCCGATCGAACTCAAGAGGAATGGAAAGGTCATAACCCACTAATGACCCACCGCCTGGACAACTATCAGAACTTATCGGAAAGAATAAATCCCAAAATCTAACCTCAAACACAAGAAAAAACCACCCTCACTTGGAAGTATTCTCTGACTCCCATAGACATAAGCCCCAACTTCCTCTCAGATTCCCCTTTCAATACTGAGCACCAGGTCAGCTCCCGACCCAGTAGATGAACCTCCAAAGGTTACTCATTGTAGACCAAAACGTCTCACTGACTTCCTTCTCACGATGACTATCTCGGCTCATCACGACACACAAGTCACGAAGTTCGCTTTATCCCAAGTGACTGCTACAACTCATCTGAAATCGTCTTGCTTCTGACTCTCGATCATCTTCCACCCACTGGTTCCATGCGCCTTGCGAGTATTCTCATACCAATGAATCTGACCCACTCCGGTCAAATAAATCAGATGAAGATCAATATCCCTTAAAATGAAACCCATCTACAAAACCGAAACCTTATCTCACCTACTCAACACACGAACAAATCCAGACTCAAGCTCGAGAGTATGATTCAACAACAGGCTTGGAACCACTCAATTCCAATCTGGTACTCAACTCATGACCCAAGATTCGCGAATTTAAGCACACACCTTCTCCCTAATTCCTTCTGATTATGACAATCCCCACTTAACCTGGGATATATCAACTCCCTCTAATACGGAGTCCTCATCTCGCCCCTGGTTCGGCAACCAGGCTTCCGAAGACTAAAAAAGTAAGGCTACCCAAGCCTAAGAACTCCTCTGCGCCATACTCT